TGCAGCGGTAGCCAAATCCCATTAAACATACAGAAACTGTAAATTGCCTGATGTTAAAAGTTGTCTAACTGGACAATTAACTGAATATATTTGAGTGAACAGGTCTCAATAAGACATCAAACAGTTTTACCTGACTATAGGAAATATGAACGTATATTTCTCATATGTTCTTACCCCCCCCAAAAAAACAGATATTAATTATAGAAAATACCTTTAATAGGTCTGCACAATCTAAATGGACTTCAATCGATCTTTGTTTGACTTGAGCTTGTAAAGCGTTTTTCTAGTCTTCTGACTACTCAAAGTGTTTTTACACCGCAGGTCACAGCTCCACAGAGGTTGCTATAGTGACCATCAGAAGTAACTAATCCCATTCATACGCCGCTGACGAAGCAGCAACTTGGGGTTAAGAGTCTTGCCCAAGGACACATGGCTCAGGAGCTGGGGATCAAACCCCCGACCTTCCTGCTGAGAGACGACAGACTCTTCCACTGAGCCACAGCCGCCCCCATTATGAGAAAAATATGCTATGTTCAATAACATGATTCATGATTCACGTGTTAACCAACATTAAAAAATGAATATCAGCTTTAACTCTGTTTGTATTTATCTGCTTTTTTTTTGGGCTAAGTTGAACTTAGCCCAATCAAAACCTGTCAAACATAAAGATTGAACACATGTTCACAAGCGAAGACAACATGTGGCAGGCCATAAAAGAAGTTTTTTATGATACCCTATTGCATGAAATCCCTTAAATGTGACAGTTAGAGGAGCACCGTGTTCGGAAACACTGAGTCATTCAAGTCGAGCAGAGAGGCACTTTGACTTCAGTCTGAGGAGACGTGAAGGAGTGCTGATGAAGCTCATTACTCTGTTTTTATCAGAAAGAGACGGAGATCAGATGACGTGTTGGTGTGTGTGTGTGTGTGTGTGTGTGTGTGTGTGTGTGTGTGTGTGTGTGTGCTTGTGTGTGTGTGTATAAAGCAGACTAGCCTTTAGGATGAAGTTCATGCACAGAAAATCAGAGAAGAGATGAGAGAGAGGAACATCTGGCTGTGTGAGCGAGCAGGACGTTCCCCGAGGCTGAGAGGAGGATTGAACTGATCTGATCAAAGAGAGAGCAGGAAGATCATCACCAGTAAAGACCACAACCCCCTGCACGCCCTGTTCAACAGTATTATTACAGTTCTGTCACATACAAGAGCTCTAATCAAACCATGGCTGTGAGCTGTGTCTGACTGCTCAGTCTTTAAGTATGGACGATTGCCTTACAGATTAACCTGGTGAAGCCCTGAACTCTGAGGTGTACAGGAAAACAAAATGTGCAGACACATCCGCCCTGCAGCTTTATCAGTCTACTCTGCATCATTAAGGGCTTTATTCTAGTTTCTATATGTGGCTCATAGCAGAGGTTACATTAGGCACTTTTAGACTGCAGGAACTTTTGGACCCCTCCCCCTTTTTTATTGATTTTATGAACTATTTAAGTTCCCAGAACCGCATTTAGAGGAACCTTTTGAGCTCCTGCTTCAGAGAAGTCACTCGACATCTTTAGCTTTTACATGTTTTTTGTCTTTTTCAGTCCTTTTAATATGTTTCTGCAAAACCAATCTCTTTAGGGATAAAATAACGTTGAAGATGAGTTGAGTGAAATTCACTTTTGATGCAGATGTAAAACCTCTGGTGAGCTGTCAGTCTGCCATTTTCACACTTATTTCACACTTGTGACATCTGTGGCATTGTGCTGTGTAAGAAAAGTGCACACTTTTGGCCACCTAGCGTTTTTTTTTCTGAGCGCCAGCGTATTTTAACAATTGTTTTCAATGAGTAGAGAGCGTTCAAAGCGGAAAGCGGCCGCCTGGAGAAAAAGCTCAGCGTCCGGCGTCTTTTCTTCCGAGCGCTCAAGTTAAAAATCGTTCAACTTTTCAGAAAGGCGCTGCTGACGTCACCGACGCTCGTTTCCAAATGTATGATATTCCCTGTATTTTTGCCGCCTACAGATCGTGTTTTGTACTCACATCCTCTTTGCTCTTTGTTTGATCAGGTAAAAAAACGATCTCAAATATAAAACATGCAGTAAAAAGTAACAGAGCAGTGTCGGTCATACAGTGGCCGTTGTCAGCACAGTGTTGTCATAGAGACAGGACGGACGTGCAATTCTTTTATTCTCAGCGGACAAACTCTCCATGCAAACACTCCCGAGCGCACAGCCAGCGCTTTTCTGTCTGGAAGAAACGCGAGGTGGACGGCCTAACAGTGTTTTTGTCTTTTCTTGAGCAGCCCCGGGCAAACCTGTTTAATAATCAGCAGCTCGATACGCCTCGCCCGTCTGGGGATGGATCGTCTTGTGCCCAAAAGGAAGTGCTCACTGACACAGACTTAAAGTTTTGAAGCCGTTTTCAGAGAAATGTGCGGAAAAAAAGTCACAACATTTCTGCTGCGGCTCTGTAAATATTAGAGCCAAAAAACATTCTAGCATACATATTACATAAGCTGCGTTTCTTTGCTTGAATGGATTACAGTTTCACTTCACCAGTCGACGATGAGACGCAAGCTATGGCGCAGTAATCCCATCCGAGCGTCTCTTTTCATTCGCATTGTGCTGCGTGCATGCTGGGTAACAGCGGAGCGGTAAAAGGTTGTCATAGCAGACAATGAAAATCAGGAGAAAAAAAAAAGAGGTCTCTCCCTCAGACAGTTGACCCAGATAACATCCAGCACATCTCACAGCTTTGTTTGAGAATCTGTTTGGGTGTCACTATTTTTTCTGTCTGGGTGTAAAAAGTTGTATTGTTCAGGGGGACGTGTTTCCAAAAGCTCAAGGCGTTTGAAGCAGCAGCACTCTTAAATCATTCTGCTGGTGTGAAGGGTGCTGTGTTGTCGGGGATTTGAAGTTTCAACTTCACCCGGGGCAAAGAGCTGTAACACTGGAAGAAAGGTGTGTTAGCCTGTTAGCGAGTGTTTGGGGATTTAGCCAGTTAGCATATGAGAGCTGAAGATTATACCTGAAACACTCGGCATGACTGTCAGGATTACACTTCATTTAAGGCGTTATTGAAGCACGTCTCTTCTTCTCTATCTGAAACACTCACATGTTCCCTCTTCTTTGTGATGCCTCTTCTCTGTTGATTTGAAAGTGTCACACCGCACTGAGCTGCGATCGTGGTCGGCTTTCAGCTTCTTTTTTAAACACTAAACGCTGGCAGCAGAACGCTTCGTTTGCTCTCTATCTTATTATTCAATTAAGAGGCGAGGACTTAGAAGACTGCACTGTATATCTGCTTAAGTAAGAGTAATGTACGAGCAGCGGAGGGAACACAAGTCTGCTTCCTCTTCTCAGTTTGGTTCCACTTGACAACAGTTGTGTGGATAATCTCACCACCTGTTCTTATTGATGTACTAAAAGAGATTCAGCAGCCGTGGTCATACAGCGACGGTAGAACAACCAGACACTGAGCTGACTCACACGTTTACAACTCAGTAGGGCAATTAATTGAAAATTAAATGACGTAATCTTGCCCATGTCGATTATTTAGATTTTTTACATTCAAGCAATGTCCGTCGTTTGGACACATTTTGTCTTTAGGGAAGACGACAACAAACAAAAAGAAGTCAAATGTAAACACTGCGGGAAGACTGTTTGCAAGAAATGCAATTTATTTATTTTCTAGTGTTTTAGAGAAGTTCATTTCTACTTTAAAACTAAAACGTGTCGTTTTCATTTTGATTTCAGTTCCAAATATTCAATAAATAACCACAAAATACTTCATCAGATATTCACTCTCTCATTAGAAACAATATCCCAGATTTAATAGGTGAGCATATTTAAAGAAGAGACCTCGTCAGTGAACTATGAGGGCAAAAAACAAAAACTAAAAAATCGTTCATTAATCGTAATCGAGGTCAAATGTTCAGTTAATGGTGATGTTGATTTGAGGTCACATCGCCGAGCCCTACAACTTAAGTTTATTTACAGCACTGATGGTAAATAATTACAAGGGCCCGACCGATATGGGATTTTTGAGGCCGATTCCGATATCGATATTTGGGCAGATAAAAGAATCCAATACCAATATATATATCGGCCGATTTGTCTCTTAGATCTATCTTCGGTCTTTAGAGACAGATAAAGATATGAACACACATTTATTGCGTTTACGCAGATATCAAACATGTGTGGAAAAGATTTATAATGAAGACAAGATGGTCACTCAACTGGAAAGTAACTGCGCCTGTACGTGCATCACTGTTTGACACTCTGGAGAGGGATGATGTTTGTTGTGATCCATATAGTGCCCTCTAGTGGTGACAGCTAGAAAAACACCTGCTAGTGTACAATGATACTAAAACGAAATGCTTTTTGACTGCTGACTAAAATCGAATTTTATCGATGTATATCTGCAAAAACATTAACCAACACAGTTATTTACTTGACATGCTGATATCGGCTTGCTGATAACTCAGTTAGGCTCTAATAATAACACAGGCCAGCCGTATGAACACAGGTCAGATTTTGTTGCTGATTTAACTCTATGGACAGAAACATGTTGGTGATCAATGTTGCAGTACCGAACACTGTTGGTGAATCTTCTTCAAGAGCCCACAACCAGGCAAACAACACTGAAACCATGCTACCAAGCTCATGGTTTCATTTGATCCCAAATGGTGCAGCAGAGCAGTGAGGAAACAGCCAGTGTGATCGAGAGACTGTGGGTTTACTGGGCAGCTCCCAGCACAAAGTGTGTGTGTTTGTGTGTGTGTGTGTGTGTTTGTGTGTGTGTGAGTGAATGGGAAAGAGTGCACAGCTGAGAAAGGGCAAACATGCTCAGCAAACGTTCCCAGGATTAACAGATATAATCAAGATCAATCCTGGAAGTCCAATCTAAAGCCTGGAAATGTCTGACCTACATTCAGTCCCCCCCCCCCAAAAAAAAAAAAATTATAACTGGAATAAAAAAAAGACAGAACAGTCTTCATGTTTTTTAACGTTTTCATCTCACCTCCGTTCAGGGAGCCGTTGAGCGATAATACTGTTGTGGTGGCGTCATGGCTGTCCTCCGGCGTGCCCCCCTCGGCGTTGGCGACCTCGGGGTCCTGCAGACTTTCATCTTCCACGATGTGTAGCTTGTCCTCGTCATCTGAGTCTGAACTGGCCTCCAAGCCATTGTTGAATTCTGTTACTGCGGAGAGACGAGACACACAGAGATGGAACGTTATCTAACGTGTGCCACTTCATTTAGAGCTCGTTCTGATTTCCACTGCCGAGGAGCCAGCAGCACGCCGCTCCGTCGGTGTCTGATGATTTACATCTGGGATGCAGAATGAATCCACTTAGCCGACAGACATGAATGGAAATAAAAACAACGTTCCTCTGTCTGAAGAAGTCGACTGTTTCCTCCCCACATCTCTCTCCTCTTAAACACCTCGAGCTCTTATTGTGCTTTTTCAACCCAAAATTTGAGCTCTCTGTTATGCAATGAGTTCAACAAGAATACACATTAAAGCGTGCTCTGCCCTGACCGCTGACTTAAAGGTCTGCACTCACAGAGTCGACACAGCATGTTTCCTTAATGTCTGCATGATACAGTAAGGTTGTTGAATGATGTAACATGTTGCGACTTAAAGACTTAAAAAAAAGCTGGTTAATAATGTTGAAGTTAAGTTTTTGTGTTTTTTAAAGTGTAAAACTTTCCAAAACAATGTATTTTTTAAACCTGCGTTAAGCGTTACCATGGTGACCTTTTTGCTGTTTTCACAAATGAAGAAAAACTAATCAAAGAAATGATGATGAGATTGTTGTTGTTTTTTACTCTGGCAATTTTCCTCACCCGTTCCACCAGAGATGAGGAGAAAATGAAGACGCTCGCTGGCGAAAAACATTTTGCTCTACCTGCTGTTATGTCCGAAACGAAAGAGAAAACAACGATTCACTGATGTATCAGTTTAACATCGGTATCAGCCAAGGCCCTGTTGACAAACACGGGCCCATCTGCACATAATGCGCCATGCGGCAGAGTCACTGATGTTTGTTGTTTAGCAGAAGAAGTCATTCTCCTACCCGAAAGGAAATGTTTGCAGTGTAGGAGACAGACAGGAGGGATTAAAAGCAGTGATGTGGGGGGAAAACAACATCTGTATCAGCCCTGATTTTCAGATCTGTGCATCTATACAACACATTAAAGTTTGTACGTCATTATACATCTTTCAGGTTTTGCAAACCATCCTTGAAACTCTTAGAAAAGGTTTCATCCTCAGTGTTATATTTCATTTTAGTTGAGCCTGCTGCCCCTACACCACATTTACTCCCCAACACCAGATCACTTTATCTGAACTAACCAGGTCTCCACATACCAAACATAATCTTCATCACATCGATCAGCCCTCCCCTCCCCCCCCCTCCCCGAACACAAAGCGGACATAAAAGAGAACAAACTGCAGCCACGGGGGGAATAATCACTTTTACATCAGCCTTTAGAAAGCAAATCTATTTCACACACTGCTGCAGGTAGTGAGTTTGTCTGTGGTGTATTAATGAGAGCTCAGCGTGAAAAATGGACCAACTGGACTGCTCAGAATGGATTCAGCAGGAGTGTGTGTGTGTGTGTGTGTGTGTGTGTTTTGGATGTGTTAAAAACAAAGTAGTAGACGATGGAGAAGTGTGTGTACACAGGGATTTAAGTGATGATGATGCTTTAGATATTTAATTACTTTCTCACTGTCAGCATGTGTGTACTTATGACTGTGTGTGTGTGTGTGTGTGTGTGTGTGTGCGTGTCTGTTTGTGTGAAAATGAGAGAGAGAGTGTGTGTGAGTTAGAGAACAAAAGTGTACAACATAAGTGTGTGTTGAGTCCCTGTGGGGAGCTGTGCGTCTTGGCGGAGGTGCCGAAGACGCCTAATGAGGAAGAAAACTCGGGTTGTTTGTTCACAGGTGACAGGTGCGCACGCACACACACACACACACACACACACACACACACACACACACACACACACACACACACACACACACACACACACACACACACACACACACACTCCTACGTCACCCCTCCAGGAGTGATGCAGTGGTTTCCTGAGACGCTTCTGTCACTGCTCCAGACAGACGGGTGGAGCTTTGAATGCTAAATGTGTGTGTGTGTGTGTGTGTGTGTGTGTGTGTGTGTGTGTGTGTGTGTGTGTGTGTGTGTGTGTGTGTGTGGAGATTGATGCATGTCTGGATCGATGGAAGAGGCGGGAACAGAAAATGAGGAACACAATATGTTTGTGCGCAGGAGGTCTGCTTTGTTATCTCGTGTGATACAGACGATGGAGAGAAAACATTAACATGCAGACAGCTTGTGCTGCTTGTCTCTTGTTTCTGGACCGGGGAGCGGGGGCGCCTGCTCTATCACCTGAGCTGAACCTGCGCCCCCGAGCTTCTCCTTTTTTAAACAAACACAAAAGTGGAATCATACAACAGGAGACAGATCAGTCACTCTCCTTCGTAACAAACACTCTGGACGCTGCAACACACACACACACACACACACACACACACAGTTCTCTGTGATGGTCATCTGACAAGCATCTGTTTTCTTTGTTTCCTGGGCGACCAGTCCCGCCCCATGGTTGGTTTTCCTGGAGCAGCGACATTCAGCACCTTGCTGAACAGTACAGGCTGAGAGGTTTCAGTTGTAGCACCCGCAGCGACTGAATAAACACCATGTCAACACAGTGTGTGGAGTGATTATATGACTCATCTTAAACTAAAGGTCAGACCCTAGACTTGTCAAAGAAACAAAAACAATGTAACCAGGTGGGAAGTTCAAGTTGCAAACATTCCCATTTTGAACTGGACCTGTGCCAGTGAACTTGGACAAAATTTGAAAACAACAAAAGATATTGCCGTCATGGGGTGCAGATGGCCTAGGCTGTGCCCCTTATACAGAGGATATAGTCCTCCAGTGGGTGGCCTGGGTCTGAGTCTGGCCTGTGGCTCCTTTCCCATGTAATTGCCTACTCTCTCTCTCTCTCTCTCTCTCTCTCTCTCTCTCTCTCCCTGGTTTCCTAATCCATCTATACTGTCATAAAGGCAAAAAGCTAAATCAACACTTTAATTAACTGACTGATTGTTTCAGCTCTCTTATAAAACAAAAACACAAGACAACTACTAACAGCCTGAATCATCACATGTTGGATTTGAATAGAACAGGGTTTATTACATGAGATATAACTCAGACAATAATATGACCATGACCATTTTGGCCTCTGCAGACATATTCTACAAGATGTTTTAAAGAGACCACACATGTTAAAAGAAATGCTCTCGATTATGATTTGCTGTAATTTAACCTGAGCACATGACAGACTGCTTCATCATCCTGAATGAGACCGTCAAGCATCCTGAATGAGAACTCTAATGAACCTCTGTGGTTTATCCAGAGGTGCAGATCAGCTGAGCCACATGTCATCTGCAGGTAACTATAACAAACTGCAGCTCCTTTCATTCAGACATAAACACACACTACTAGTCAGACGTGTGGCTCCTTTAATGACAGAAAATATAATTACTTGTAGATAAACAGTGTGTGTCTGTTCTGAACAGTGCAGGCTGGAGGTAAAGAGAAAGAAGAATGAAGAATATGGGAATATGAATTAGATTCAAGCTTAGGCGTCATACACTTAAACTCTATATTTGAATATTACATTTACGGTAAGTACTGTATGCGAGGGATCTAATTTGATAACAGGCTGAATAATCAATGAGGCTGTTGGTGGGTAAAGGGCCAATTTTATTTTTTTAACCTGGTTTTAAGTCAGATAATATTCCCAACAGAAAAAAAGTCTCTGAGGCTGGTGAAGCCATATTTAATGTGCATTAAGCAAATGAGGAAATCATTCTATCAGTATCAGCAGAAGTGTAGTGATTACGGTCCAGATCGTACCAGAGGATGGTGTTTCATTCTGTCTGCCTTAAATACATAGAGAGAGAGAGAGAGAGAGAGAGAGAGAGAGAGAGAGAGAGAGAGAGAGAGAGAGAGAGAGAGAGAGAGAGAGCGAGAGAGAGAGAGAGAGAGCAGCATTAGATCTCGTTCCTCTCGGGTTTCTTTGGATTCGATTACAAACTGATCGTGTTCGCAGACGAGAGGATGCTGCGGGAGCATCAGTGACATCAGCTCTCAGGATTTCTGGGTGATGGAGTCAGAAATGTAACTCCCTTTAGCAACACGCACAACCGACGCTCTGAACGCTTCTTACAAACGACAAACAAGAGGATATCTCGTATAGCTTCATAATGCTGAAAGAAAACAGATATTAAGTTTGCAAAAAGGATTAAAGATGAGTGAAAAATGTTTGCATCAAAATGTATGTTTAATTTGTAGAAAGAATTAAATTCTAACAATTTAACATTTCTCCCACTAAGCACTACATCACTTTACAAAGTCTGCTGTTTGTCACACATGATGAGCTTTGTTTGAAAAGTATATCTTCAAATGTTTTGATTATGGACTTTAGATTAGTGCAAGGCAGAGGGTGATGCTATTGACCCAGACCCTCAGGAGGGGACTTGCCAGTTGCAGGACCCAGCCTGTTGAAGGTGTGACCGTGTGAAAGGGAGGGGGGCCACCAGACCCAGAGGAGAGGAGGGAGCCCCCCCCCTCTTTTTTTGTTTTGTATTTTTTTTTAATTACATTTCTAACCCTGACTTCAACAAATCATCTTTCCTGCCAACACTTTGCTTTCTTGCACTCTTGCCCTGAGTGTAATTACAACAACAGCCGACAGGTGGCAGCACTGAGCAGAGCAGGAACAACAACATAGGGACTTCCTAACTAACTGTATAAAAACATGGATACACAAGTCTTGCCATATGTTTTTCTGTGTGTTTGTGAGACAGAAAATAAAGTCGATCTGTTCACATGGTTGTGACAATGTGTGAAGTGAACTGTTAATCCTCCATCTGGATTTCTGTAAGGAGGAGAGGCCGGCGCGGAGAGAAGGAGGGAAGTCTAGACTTGAGCATTCCTCCCTCCCTTCCTACCATCCATCTCTCTGATTAAGAATCTGTTTCATGACAGGTCACCTCATAATCACTCTTGTGTATGCTTACTGATAGGATGTCTGCCGTATTGAGTCTTAGATCTGTTATAAAGTGTTACTCAAAAACGTAAAGGCTTATGAAGTATAAAACAATACTG